TTTAACCCGCTGCGCCACCAGGGAGGGCCCGACAAATGATAGTGTTAAAATCAATTCTGGAATAGAAGAACATCTGACTAGAGCATGGTGGTGAGATATACTTCTGAAATATCTGCTTATTCACTCTTTTCTTTTTGCCTTGCAATATATTACTCTTTACTCCTCCTATCCCAATGCAAGAGCCTCCTGGACAGTGAAAAACATCTAACCCAAGACAGGCTGAGAGCTAAAGCCGGTGGGAGGGTGTTCCATGGACAGAAAGCATTAGAATTCTGGAGTTAAAGTTGTCATAGTAAGGTAGCCATGCACTAAGGAATGAAAGCAGTCTGGAGAGTCAGAAATTAAGGGTGTTAGAGGGAGGAATATGAGAAGGGTGAAGTGAAGATGATGAAAAACAGAGACAAGCATAAAAGGGAAGGAAGGAAAAGAGGGCAGGAATGAAACAAACAAACAGAACTGCCCTCATTTCTGCGAGTTCCCCAGGTCCTAACCCCAGTCCCTGGCAAGGTTAAGCTGCTCACACCCTGAGGTTTCATAAGACACCCTACGATCTTAACAACAGTCTTTCGCTTGGCTAAAAAAATGAGTTACATAAAATGTTAAATTTCAGGTGCATTTGAAAAGTGGTGTTTAATATGAGTGATATCTTACAGAAAAGAAGATTTTCATCAGAGAGAGATTACAATGTATTGGGAATAATGATAGTAATAGTTACACTTGCTAGTAGTAAGAAGATAAAGAGGGAGAACACCAGCATTAAAGAAAGGCTCAGTCAGTCCTATTCAAGAAACTGATAAACACATAGGCAGAAGCTAAACTGAGTGGGCTGAAGATGGACTGGAGGTAAGGAGGTCGAGATCACAGCATATGATTGAAAGATACTAATCTAATAAAGAAGAAAAAGGAAAGATCATGACCACTACTAGGACAGAAGACAAGGGTATCCAGCTGAGGAATATCTAGAGTTTGAAGATCTAAGTAAGTTTTAAGTAATAAAGTTTGCAAAAGAAAGGGACATAGCACAATTAAGAGTTGAACATTCCTAAATTAGAGAAGCAGAAAACTTTTCCTATGAGACCCATAAGCACAAATTTACTGGTATATTAAGAAACAAAGACCTATAGTAAATTTTAGAGTTTCATCATATGTCATCTTTTCAATACCAAAAAATACATCTTTGTGTAGTAAGGCAAGGATGATTATCATATCTGAAAAGTAATCATCACCTTTGTAAATTGTTACAAGTTTAAAAGTAAACACAGAGAAAGGTCCTTAACCAAAGACAAAAAAAAAGGAATGGCTGCATTTAGAAAACTGATTATTTATGTGAACTAAACAATATCATAATAAGATGTAAAAACATGTTAACTGCTGTGTAATTAAAAGATAAAACCCAATTATCAGTCTATCTCAAAGAAAATACTATTTCAGTATGAAGCTAAAAAAGCCTTGCTCATGATTGAAAAAATTTAGTAGTGAAGGTAATAAATTCCAAACTAATTCAGACAAAAGAACAGGACTCAGGGGCAAGGAATGACTTGCTAAGATAACCTACTTAATTATCTTCATTTTCTACATGAAAAAACTGAAGCCTAAAGAGTTCCAAGTTCATGATTTTAATTATACCTCAACTGTAGGAACTAGAAGTCAGTTTTGTAGTTTTCAATTCAATTCATTCCACCTTTTTGTTTTTCTTATTTTAGTCTCAAACAGGGATGCTGGGTGGAAGTTTTTCTACGAGGTAATCAAAAAGTAGGCACAAGCACCTAAAGCAAAACACAACTTTGTTCTAGTGTTCTGAAGACAACTGCAAACAATTAACACAGTTCAAATTTATAGCCACTAAGCTAAAAAATTTAAATCATCAAGAATTAAAAAGGCCTTATTTAACCTTTACACTATTAGGGCTATTTTACTACAAGGAAAAGTAATGGCTTTAAAAGAGGGAGTTTAAAAAAAGGGGGGTAGGCAGACATAAGTAAAGCCTGTGTAACTCTGAGGAACTAAAGAATCTGCAAACATTCTGCACATCTTTGTTTCTTAAAGATCAAATTCCATGTTTATCATATTATCTCACCCATACTCTAGGAGAGTGAAGTCTAGACATATTTCAGAAAGTTCTTGTCTTACTGAAAGTTAAAGCACTAGCACCATTAGCTTTATAACTAGTTAAGAAGTACACCACATAACAACTATTTGACCTTGGGCAAGTTGCTTAAGCCCCATTTCCCTACTCTAAAAGGATAATATTTACCTCCTAAGAGTGAATATAAAACATGCAATATAGCTTCTGGCACACAGTAATTACTCAATAAAAGCTAGTTATTATTTGAAAAAAGCCTCTATTATTTGAAATTTCTTGTTCATTTTGACTGGTTGTAGTAAATATATTACTTTTACCATCTTTCTTCTATTCCTAGGTAACTTGGGGATCTAAAGAAGGGGATAAGCTACTTAAAAAAAAAAAAGAAAGAACAAAAAGGAAGTTTCAAAACAATGTTTATATCATCTTCAAAGTTAAAAGTAGCAAAACTAATAGACAGTAAGCCACACATTGGAATATATAAAACTTATAACCAATGATCAGACAGTATTATAAAGAAGAAGCAATTTCTTTTCCCTGGGCCAAAAATAAAAAAAGCAAAACCAAACAAAAAAACTCCCACACATTTCCATTTCTAAAAATGTCTCAGGTTTTCTTTTTGAGGAATTCAATCTTGTAACAAAATACCCTATTATCATAGAAAGCAACTACAGGACAGTAAGTCATGAACAAGACTAAAAATGTATTGGGTACATGAGCCAACGAGAAAAACTCAACTGGAAAAAAGAGTAAGTAGAGGTTTTTCTCAAAATTTAATTGTGACTTTGAGTTGTTTTGTGATAGCTCTTTGATACTCCCATGTATATGGTAAACACTTCCTTAGAAAATTATAAATGACCGTTCAATTTTAAAAAAATGCCCTATATATTTGTCTCTTTAGGAAAGTTGGCCATTTATACAAAAGAGCCATGAATGAGAAGTGAATCTGCTGACAGGGAAGCAAACACATAGTGTCTCTGATTCTCTTTTTATTCTATTTTACTTATTTTCATTTCATTTAAAGTGAACCTTGTTTTAAACAGCACTACAAAGTTGAAGTAATCTTATCTAAACCACCATAACTGTTGCTAAAAATTGAAAAAATCCATATACTACTAATTTTATGAATCTAAGGAATATGGGCTTAGAGAAAATCAGCTTTCTGTGAACCAACATTACACATTATGAATCACAAGGAAAAATAGAAAAAAAAAAAACAAAACCCATGGCAGTGTACTCAGGAGTGTTGTGAACCTATGAAGTTTAACTATCACTAAATTTGATTTCCTATTATGATGAGATGTAAGAAAACCAAGGAAGAAACTCGACATATAGACTAAAAAAGGGAAAATTTTCTTTGAAATTAACTAAATAAAATTCGTATGAGTTAGAAGAAAAGTATTTTGGAGATTGAGTGGTGTTCTGAAACTCTTCATACACTGCACATACATTGTATATATAATACATCCTTTCTATGGTAAAATAAAATCAACAATTACATAGCAGTTCAAAACCTCGGAATAATTTAGGACTACAAAAATGACTATTCGGAAGAAATTACAGGGAAATTTTTAGGTAAGGAATGTAATTTAGTAAGGGCCTAGGTTAAGAGAAAGTGAAAGAGACAGAGATAAATGATAACTTTCTATCTTAGTATAATCCACAAAGTGAAAATCTCTGAAGGATTTATTTCTCATAGGAATTGCATGGGAAAATAAAGTATATGAGAAAGTCAAAATTATGCATAAACCAAAGTGGCAAATGAAACTTAGTAGTTAAATGCAGAGTGTTTGACTGTGTGATTGGATTAAAAGGGGATTACACCTTTGAGAAAGCAAAGATGTATCAAATGGATTACATAAAATTTGCAGTCCTGTTTATTAGGGGCAGGTGAAGACAAATAAAAACACCCCACAAGAAACAAACAAATCTACGCCAACGAAGAATCATGAGATTAGGTCCTATGTCTGTTTCCACTAAGATTAATTATGATAACTTTGTCCTAACAGAATTTTGCCATTCCCACAAAGGGGTAAAGTGGTGAGAAGCTTTGATAATCTAAATTTGTTAATTTAATCTCAATTAAATTAACACTATTAGAAAATTCTCTTGCTCTTCTATCTCAAAACTTGAAAGTCATACCAAAATGCTAGTCAAACATACATGCAAAATGACCCTGAAATTAAGATAATTGCTGGTACCAAATGTTGTGTTTAAGTTCCACAGTAAAACAGTCTCCCAGACATTTAATAGTATGTCATTTGGTAAATGAAAGTTTCCACAAAATAAGGGCAGTGAGAAGACCTAAAAATTATGTCAGTGAAGAGTCTGGCTTAAAGAAACAAAAGTACGCATCATTTTGGTCCAATACTAATTTTATTTCAAGTTACTACAGAGCTAAATAAAATGCTGACACCACCATACAAAAATTTATTGAGTTGGCAATAGGCAAAGCATGATGTCAGCCACCAATATTAACATCCACATTACCAAATAGAATGAACATTTCAATTCCCGAACTCAACTTAGACATATGCCTAAAATAAAAAGAAACCCTTATGCACGAGGCATTATTAAACATTGACGAGTAGCCTGGAAGAGTTTTAACTGAAATTTGTCTAAAATTTTAACATTTGGTAAAAAAACATGGAAAAATGCAAAGCTTAAACATATTGCAATTTTCTAATTACATACTGCATTCTTCATCAAACAGGTCAACCTTCATCTAATTGCGTACTGTATTCTTCATCAAACAGACCCACACAAGTTATTGTCAGCTCATAATAATATTCAAAGAAGCAATGTCATACACACACACACACACACACACACTCACAACTGTCCTCAAATAAGTAACGTTGCACACACACATTCAGGATGACAGAAGGAAAACATACAAACACACACAAGTTCTTACCTTCATGGCATGAATTTCTTCAAGCAATCTTTGTGCCCGTCTTTGGTTTTTTGACAGTGCATCTTCAGTACCCCTGCAAAAAACATATTATAACATGCATTCAGGAAAAACGTTGAGACTCATTTTATAACAAAGACAATTTATCTCATTTAGACAGGTACAAAAAATTTCTAAATAACAGACATTTATTCATCCTGAATTACTCTTCTCCTCTATCCAAAACATACATCAACCCTACCAACAAACCTATGTTTTTACCAAATAAATATTGTTCCAGCATTACATTCATGACTATCACTGATAAGTAAAATTCCCTCTAATTCCTTAATGGGAAAGCCAAATAACTATTTTAATCCTTCAATTAATAGCATATTTTACTTACTACAATAAACATTTCATAAACTACTACTAAAGTTTACATAAAATTTTTTCAGAGTGAAATTTACTCTGTGGAATTAAGTACTTAAAAATGCTAAAATATCTGATTATACCAGACAGCTCAATCTTCTGAAACAATTAAAAAAGAAAGGAATCAGTAACAGAACACCTGAAAACTGTATTCATGCTCAAAGCATAAAAACTACATTTCTTTCTAATGGTAGTGATACTAAAAATTCAATTTTTCTCATGAGTCACATAAATGATTTCAAATAGATAATTCAATAATTGCAAAAAAAAAAAAAATCAGAATACTGTATTTTAATAAATTTTCAAAAGATACTGAAGATTTCAACTTAGTTATCAATTCAAGGGAAAAAGGAATATAAAATCTTCATACGTGATTCAAGTCATGGTCAGAAAGATCAAAAAGACTTGAAAAAAACAGAATTCACATTATTTCAAGTGGTTATCAGTTAGTCACATACCACATGAGGACATGCTGACACAGCACATTCTATGGCACTCAGATCCTCTCTACATTTGACAAAATGCTGTATGAGAGAGACATTTAATTATCCTTCCAGGTCCCACCCTCAAGTTTTGTAAATACTGAATAAAAATAACTACATATTAGTCATAGGACCATTACTTTGAATGACTAACTTTTTTAACTTCAGTCTGGAAACACTCCTGACAAGTTTTCGGATAACCAAAACTCGGATTCTCTTCACATCTTTTCTCATCTTCACAACCTTTGAGGAATAAAAACAAAAGTAGAAAAGTTCTTAATTCAAGAAAGAAACAAACTTAAGTCTTAGTATCATCAACTAACTAAGCCTACCACTTTTTTTTTTTTTTAAGATTTATTTATTCATGCAGAACCGGGGTACAGGCCAGAGATGCGAAGGGTGAGAGGATTCACCAGAGACAGAGTGGGGAGTACAACAGAGAGATTGACGAAGTACACTGCTGAGGGGAGCAGCGGGCGGGTCAGGAGAGGTCTGCCAGCCATGTGGATCTCCTCCGGGGCAGGCGGGAATCGAACTCATGCGGAAGTGGCCTTAAGCTTGTTCGTGCAGTGCTTTAACCTGCTGCGCCACCAGGGAGGGCCCTAAGCCTGCCACTTTAACCAAATTTTTTATTTAACTATATTCACTGTCTGATGAAATCAAGCATGTTCCACAAACAGTGAAGGGAATAAATCAACATTCTAAAAAAGTTGAATGTATCTGAGAACTAAGAGAAAGTAACAGTTTAAAAAAAAAATTACAATATTCCCAGGTTAGGATTTTAATATTACACATAGATCACAGTGGGCCTGGAACATAAGAAAACTGAGTTGCATGCGATCGGAAACCATCATATTTACCTTTACATTCTTGTCTTACAATAGTGTAATGGCAGACATTTAATCCACTGAAAGTTATGTATTAACAAAAGCAAATGTGTGAAAGTGACTACATTTTACTTATTTAAAAAGAATTCTCTACATTTATTTAATTTTTTAATATTTTATTTATTTATTCATACAGAATTGGAGTACAGGCCAGAGGTGCAGGGTAGTGAGTGAGAGGATTCACTAGATACAGGGAACAGAACAGAACAGATCGACTGAAATATACTGCTGAGGGGAGCATCAGGCTAGACAGCAGAGGACTGCTGTGCCATGTGGGTGAGCTCCCTGGCTGGGGATCGAACTCATGTGCAGTGGATTGCCTTAACGTACATAGATTTAACCCCCTGTGGCACTAGGGAG